GATTAGAGATTTGGGTACTTCATTAGGGTATGAAGATGATGAGTTGAGAAGGTTTGTTAAAGATCAGCAGGATAGGGTCCGAGATGAAAGGGCTGCTTTAAGGCAAGAACAGAAAGACGAACGAGATAGAAAAGCAGCTATAGAAAAAGTTTTGATTGAGAAAGCTAAGGTTGAGAATGAATTGGAACTACAAAAGTTGACGCATAGTCAGAAAATGGAAGAGTTAAGTAAACAAGCTGAGTTACCACAATTAGTAAGTACAGGGGGGTCACATGATACAGTTCGTGGACCTAAAATTCCAGCTTTTGAAGAAGGTAAGGATGAGATAGATAGTTATCTTAGGAGATTTGAGCGTTATGCTACTGCTCAAAAGTGGAAACCTGATATTTGGGCCACTCATCTTAGTGCGTTATTGAAGGGCAAGGCTCTTGATGTATATGCACTTATGCCGGTTGATAAAGCTCTTGATTATCCAGCTTTGAAAGATGCTCTACTAAAAAGGTATGATATGACTGAAGAAGGATTTAAACGTAGATTTAGAAGTTGTAGACCAGAGCCAGGTGAGACTTTTATACAGTTTTCTGTTAGATTAGATAGCTATTTTAAGCGTTGGATTGATATGGCACATACAGATACTACTTATATAAGTTTGTATGACTTGATTATATGGGATCAGTTTCTACATAAATGTTCGAAGGACTTGTCTTTGTTTTTAAAAGAGAGAATACCAGATTCTTTAGAGAAAATGGTAGCTTTAGCTGATCAGTATCGTGAGGCAAGACAAACAAGTGCTTCCAATCTTATAGATAAAGGTAATCAGTCAAACACATCTTCAGTAAGAAACCAAAGTGGTTCGAAACTAGTTGATTATAGTACAAAGAAAGAACAGAGAAGTATAAAACCAACAGAACGTACTTCATTTGTACCTAATAGGGACAGAAAGTGCTTTAGGTGTGGTAAGAATGGACATATTGCAACGGATTGTAGAGTTAATCTACAAAAGACCAACAGTGGATCGTCAGACGATAGAAAGAATTTTAAAGGTAAAGTATGTAATACCTGTACTATACCTACAGATTCTATAGTAGATGCTATTCCTACTGGTTGTACAAGTACACTTCCGTTGTCTTGTCAGTCAACCGCAAATGTAAGTATGCCTGTAAGTTCAGGTTATGTTGATGGTAAACCAGTCACGGTTTTACGAGATACTGATTGCAGTGGTATTGTGGTTAAACGTGATATGGTTGGCAATGAGTCATTAACGGGTGGAAAACAGGTATGTATTTTGGCAGATGGAACCAGAGTTGAAGTGCCAATAGCTAGAATTGATATAGATACACCATATTTACAGGGAGAATTTGAAGGATGGTGTATGGCTAATCCTGTGTATGACTTGATAATTGGTAATGTAGAGGACGCTATAGAACCAGGAAAGCCTGATCCTTTGTGGCAACAAACGGGAGCTGTTGAGACAAGAGAACAGGTAAGAAACAAAAGTAAGCCGTTTGTGCAACTGAAGGTAAAAGATATCATCACAGATGAGGTAAATCCAAATGTAATCAAGAAAGCTCAACTAGAAGATACAACGTTGGATAAAATAAGAAGGTATGTATTAACGGGTGATACAGTTACACGGAAGAATGGACAAGTAAAGTGGATTTTAAAAAGAGGTATGATATACAGACAGTTTTCGTCGTCAAAACCTGATAGGATAAGTTGTACTCAGTTAGTAGTTCCGAAGTTTCATCGCGAGACAGTGACGAGAGTAGCACATGAGTCGATTATGTCAGGTCACATGGGTACACAGCGTACACTTGATAGAGTATTATCAGCTTTTTATTGGCCAGGTGTTTCGGCGGATGTTAAGCGATTTTGTCAGTCTTGTGACATATGCCAGCGTACAGTTCCTAAAGGAAAAATAGGTAAGGTACCTTTACAGTCTATGCCGTTGATAGATGAGCCGTTTAAACGCGTAGCAGTTGATCTCATTGGACCTCTTTTTCCTAGAACAGACAGAGGTAGTAGATATATACTGACTTTGGTAGATTATGCTACACGTTATCCTGAAGCAATAGCTTTGAAGGATATTGAGACAGAGAGTGTTGCTGAGGCATTAGTAGATATATTTTCTAGAGTAGGAGTTCCACAGGAAATGTTAACTGATATGGGAAGTCAGTTTACATCTAAGCTTATGGCTGAGGTAAGTAGACTCATATCGCTTAGACAGTTAACTACAACTGTTTATCATCCTATGTGTAATGGGTTAGTAGAGAGGTTCAATGGAAGTCTAAAACTGATGTTGAAGAGAATGTGTCATGAACGACCTAAAGATTGGGACAGGTATGTAAATGCATTACTGTTTGCATACAGGGAAGTTCCACAGGAGAGTCTGAAGTTTTCGCCATTTGAGCTCGTGTATGGTAAACAGGTGAGGGGACCTATGGCAATATTAAAGGAGCTATGGACTAAAGAGATAGACGATCCTGAGGTAAAGTCTACATATCAGTACGTGATAGATTTAAGAGAGAGATAAGAAGCTACCTGTGAGCTTGCTCGAAGTAATTTGGCGTCTGCATCAAAGAAGAATAAGGTATATTATGATAAATCGACCAAGCAAAGACATATGAAGGTAGGTGAAAAGGTTCTTGTGCTCTTACCTACGGATAAGAATAAACTGTTGATGCAGTGGAAAGGTCCTTTTACTATTACTGAGAAATTTGGTAAGGTAGACTACAGAATACAGATGAATGGGAAGATTAAAACGTTCCATGCAAACTTATTGAAAAGGTATGTGGAAAGGTGTGACGTAGATGATGATTTAACAGTGGTAAGTTCTGCAGTGATAGATACTGATAGTGACCAAGTGGATGTTTATGATGAGATTCATGAAATACCTTTTACTGATTCAGGTGAGAATGCTAGTCATATTGATGTTAATCCAGACTTGGATGAAAATCAGATATTACAGGTAAAGAAATTGCTGTTTTCATTTCCTGAAGTCTTTACTGATTCTCCAGGATGTACCGATCTTCTGGAGCATGACATTAAATTGTCCAGTGAAACGCCTATAAGGATGAAACCGTATCCTATTCCATATAGTATGTTAGACACAGTAAATGCTGAGGTTAGTAAAATGTTAGACCTTGGAGTTATAGAAGCATCTACGAGTCCTTATGCGTCACCGATCGTCATTGTTAAGAAGAAGGACAATACAAATCGATTTTGTATTGATTTTAGGTCGTTAATTAGCCAGACTTTGTTTGACGCTGAACCGATGGGGAATGCAGAAGAGATGTTTTCTAAGTTAGCAGGACATAAGTACTTTTCACGAATCGATTTATCAAAAGGATATTGGCAGTTACCGTTATCAGAGGATGCCAAACCGAAAACCGCTTTTCAAACACCTAAAGGTTTGTTTCAGTTTCGTAGAATGCCGTTTGGACTGGTTACTGCACCAGCTTCTTTTTGCAGATTAATGAGAATATTGTTAAAAGGTATGGAGAATATAGATAATTTCATAGATGATATAATCATCTTCACCTTGACATTTGAGCAACATTTAGAGGTACTGTATGAACTTTTGGTCAGACTTAAAGGGGCAAATCTTACAGCTAGACCTAGTAAGTGTTCCATAGGTTATGGTAGTCTAGAGTGTTTGGGTCATTTTGTCGGTGATGACAAACTTAAACCTCATCCAGACAAGGTTAAAGCGATAGAAGAAGCTCCACGACCAGTTACAAAGAAACAGGTAAGGTCTTTTCTTGGATTAGTTGGGTTTTACAGGAAGTTTATTCCAAACTTCTCCTGTATTGCACTTCCACTTATTGATCTGACGAAGAAAGGACAGCCTAGTACTGTTGTTTGGGAAAATGCACAGGAGAATGCATTTCAGTCTTTAAGGTGTGCTTTAGTTAGGTTTCCTATATTGAAATTACCAGATTTCACTCAGATTTTTGTTCTGATGACTGATGCATCAGATAGAGGGATTGGGGCAGTACTGATGCAGTATCAAGAGAACTCCAAGATACCTATTGCATATGCAAGTAGGAAACTTAAGAAGAGTGAAGTGGCTTATTCCACTATTGAAAAAGAGTGTTTAGCCATCGTTTGGGCTGTGCAGAAATTTCAGAGGTATTTATACGGTAGAGAATTTATACTTGAGACTGACCACCAGCCACTTACTTATCTTAATAAGAAGAAAGTAGAGAATGCTAGACTTATGAGGTGGGCATTAGCTCTACAGCCTTACAGATTTAGAATTGTAGCAGTTAAAGGTATAGATAATGTGGGTGCAGATTATCTCAGTAGAGTTTAGGATGTAAATATTACAGTGTTTTGTTTTATAATGAATAGTAAGTAGTGAAGATTTGATAGTGTTAGTTTTATTTTGTTGAACAGTCTAAATATCACAGGACTAGATTTGAAATGGTGACAAACCGTGATGTTGTGGGCAGGATATGTCGTGACATAACACTTTGAATAGGTTTAAGTTATGAGGCGACAAGACCTGATAATGATCCTTATTCATCTTTTAGGTGAGTATATGTCGATTTGTTGTAAGGGTCGGTTGGTATTTTATTTAGACCTGGTCAAGAGTCGAGTACTGTCCGGTAGTGTCGTTAGTATGATTAGTTTGTCTTTTGATTTGGACTAGTTTATTTGCATTGATGGGTTTTTGTATGTAAATCTATTTCTGTTTATATATATTTTTTATTATCAGTACTTCGTACTTCTTTTTGTGGGGAGGAACTGTCACAGGGTGACTTTGTTTACTCACATATATGTTGTTATTTTGGTTGTTAATTCTATTTCCATTTGCAGAACGTCAGTATCTTATAAATGCTATATTCTGCAGACTTCGGTGTATAATACATGTCCACATTTTACATCTAATTAATTAAGTAGTGTCCACTATTTACTTGGGCATTTACTTGTAAACTTGTCGAACGGGTTGAGTGACAGTGATACCTGTATTTGATGAGCTGATTATTCACTCTCAGGTAACACCTTAACGAGTCAAGGTGTGGTCAGAAATGTTTGTATAAAGTTAGTTTACAATGTGGCGTGGACACACACACTGGATTTCTGAGGTAGGATTCAATTTATTCTTATTTATTTAATCATTATTCGTTCTAAAGTGTTCAGTTTTCTGCAACAACGCAAATATAGAATAATTATTTCAATTGTAATTGTAATTTTTGACATTGCTATTTTATAAATGTAATAAGTTAATTAATGTTCATTATAATGAAAGTTTAACACGGTTATATGTTTCCGGCTGTAGTAAATATTCGAGTATCGAAATTGTTTGGTATTTTAGGAACGTTTGCGTACGATAATGCAATGATGTATGTATCTCCATAAGTATGTAAAGTAATATGCAACGTATAAGCATAAATGTATATTCAGCGTTAAAAGCTGTATATTGTGTGTAGTAATTGTATAATGATAGTATACAATAAAGTCAATTATGTGACTTGTAAAGTAAGGCATTGTACGATATGCCGTAGTTTGTATTGTGTAAAGTAAGGCATTATACGATATGCCGTAATTATTTGTGTATAAGTAATGCATTATTCAATATGCTATAATCTTCTATAGATTGAACATAAGTAGTCGTACTAAGTATTTGTCATTATTTATGCGACATGTGTAATGCATAAACATATGTATATTTCTTAAGTATAGTATTGTATCTTAACGTACAGTATGTATTTCAATAGGTCCCAGTTTGCGGGCTAGGTGTATGTAGTTTTGTATTGTAAAGTATGGAGATATAGTACAGATGGTGGTGAAACCTGTTGACAGTGCGGCGTTCCGTGTTTATCATCAATAGTTTGGCAACATAGAATATTTGGAGTCGAGTCTAGACAATAGGGCAGCCGTAATGTGTACACCGCTTATGTTGGGCCAGTTTTGTGTAGTTACCGAAAACCAAATACGTAAAATTCCGTAGTATCGTTTATCCAGATTTCATAGTTTAATATAAAGAAGAAGGAACAGTTCATTAAACATTTGACAGTATTATTTCATTTGATTTCATCTATTTATATTTGTAAATTTGTACCTAATTAAATTGTTATTTTGTTTAAAGTAGTAGTCATTTATTATCTGTAAGTACAAACTCCTAAGTCAGCTCTCGTCTATCCGTGACACTCGCAGTTACTGACAGCTAGCCAATAACAATTAATAAAACAAATCATGTGTCTAAGACTAAAAAATCAATATGTTCACATCCAACATCCAATGAATTAAGTGTAAAGACGTCATTAACAGTCAGAGAAAAAAATGACCTTGTGCAATGCCAAACTATAGGTATCGACAGATTTTAATACCATGAAAGTGCATATGTGTTTGTTTACTTAAAATGTATTTACAGTCTATGACAACTTCCCATCATGAAACGAAAATTATCGATAACTTACTTTCCTCTGAAACTTGGAACTTATTTATTGCGAAGAAATTCGCAGCAGAAATGAGATTTAACAAATATATTTAGATTGAAGAACTTTCATATAAATTTCTTGTATGCCTGGCAAGCCATGAACCCACATCTCCGCCTTTTCATGTGCTGCATGAAGACAATGTATGGGTATGTGTTGAAGTCTATACAGTGACCTTTAACTGATTAAGCCAAATTATTTGAACTCTGTTGGATAGTTGTCTCATTGGCAATCATACCACATCTCCTTATTTAGCTATTGGTTATTTGAAATAGATGACTGATAAACATTTGAAAAGATAAAACATGTATGCAATGATTGCCGCATTGTCAATTTGAGATTTCAAGTTATATATATGTCCAAAAACAATTTGGTTGTATAAGTGGTATCACTATAATTGTTATTATCCACTTTTTTGTGTAACCATGTCATTTATATTCCGTAATTTAACGTATTGATGTACATAAGTACTGATTCCAGATTAATATTTCGGGTTGTTACTCTTAAATATTTTTTGTATGATTTAGGGACAAAAAGGGGCCATATGAAACTGTGTATCATTATACAAAAAATGGAAGAAATAGGAGGAAGAAATTGTTTATAACCGTTTTAATTATCAAACTTAAATATTGGCAAATTTGTAGGTTAAAATAGTATAAGTCTCATTTTAGTTTTCTTTCATGGTGAAGGTGCTTACTATTTGTATCGTTCTGCAACCAGAAGGTAATATGTTTTTTCAATATTCAAACGATTATTATTTTTTTGTACTGAGCTTGAAAACCATAACACATAGAGTCCTATTTTATCCATTTGCATGTAGTCATATGAGATAGTTTTATTCTTATTCCATTAGCATATTAATCTTATTAACGAGTTCTGCATATTCCATAATTATTGAAAGTTTTTTTTATTAATTCGAATTTAAAGTATAATTAATACGAACTTGCATTCATATATATGAAACAAATTATTATATATATATATATATGCAACTTTTTCGGAAATCGTAATAATGAATTTTTTACGTGGAGTTAAAAAGAGTCTTTGACAAACACTACAAACTGCTCAGAGTCTAGTAAAGTCGAGCACAGATTTTACTCGACTTGTCTCAACAGTACTTAACTGTACTCGACTTTGGTCTCGACTTTACTTAATAAGTCTGATTCAGTAATTAATGATCTTGGTGTAGTCTGAAATGGTCTCGACCAAGGCTCGACCTGTCTCGACCAGTCTCAACCAGTCTTGACCTGTCTCGACCAGTCTCGACTCATTTTCGACCAGTCTCGACCTGTCTAGACTAGTCTTGACCTTCAAGTTTAGTCTCAACTGGTCTAAATCAGCCCATCTATCTAAATTAAATATTGATCTTACAAAATTCCAGGTTATTTGGTAGTTGGTTCATTGCTGGGAAATTAAGGAAGTAAATTAATAGGTAAAAAAAAGTAAGAATTTTCAGTTTTGACTAAATTCAGATAGTCGTCCTTAATTATTTCTATAACTTTTTCAAATCAGTTTGGATTTTCATAAAACTATACAGCTATCTCAATTATACATTGACCTTACTGAATCCCAGGTCGTTATGTAGTTTAGTGTATAGCTGTCAAATTTCTGAATTCAATTATTAGGTAAAAAAAAAAGCTAGAATTTTCAGTGGGACTGAATTCAGCTAGTCAACTTTAAATTTGTTTATTATTTTTTCAAATTAACTTGGATTTTCATATAACTATACAGCTATCTCAGTTGTATATTGATCTTACTGAATCCCAGGTCATTATGTAGTTTGGTGTATTGCTGTCAAATTTAAGGTTTAAATTAATAGATAAAAAAAAGTGATTTTTAAATTGGTTAAATTCAGATAGTCAACTTTAATTATTTTTATAACTTTTTCAAATCAACTTTGATTTTCATCAAACTCTACATCTATCTCAATTATACATTGATCTTACTGAATCCCAGGTCGTTATGTAGTTTGGTGTATTGCTGTCAAATTTAAGGATTTAATTAATAGGTAAAAAAAGCTAGAATTTATAGTCGGACTGCATTCAGATAGTTAACTTTAAATTTGTTTATTACTTTTTCAAATTATCTTGGATTTTCATAAAACTATACATCTATCTGAGTTGTATATTGGTCTTACTAACTCCGAGGTTGTTATGTTGTTTGGCACATTGCTGTCAAATTTAAGGATTTAATTAATCAAGGTAAAAAAGGCTAGAATTTTCAGATTGGACTAAATTCAGATAGTTATCTTTAATTTTTTTTATAACTGTTTCAAAGCAACTTGGGTTCTCATCAAAATCTACAGCTATCTCCATTATATAATTATCTTAAAAAATACCAGTTTATTTGTTAATTTGGTTTATTACTGTCAAATTTAAATATTTAAGTTATAAGTATCTGTCTGAATTTAGTCAAAACTGAAAATTTTAGCCTTTTTAACCTATTACCTAAGTCCTTAAATTTGCCAGCAATACACTAAAATACAAAACAACCTGTCATTCTGTAAGATGAATATATAATAAAGATAGCTGAAAAGTTTGATGAAAATCCATACTGATTTGAAAAAGTTATAAAAAAAATTTAAAGGTGACTATAAGAATTCAATGCGAACTAAATTAACAGTTAAGATAAATTTCTCTTTAACTGACATGGCAACAGCTACAATAAGATAAAGATATATATAAAAACAGATTTTTACATCCTTACATGATTCTCAGATTTATCAAATAGAGATAGTTAAATCAAATTATCTTATATGGTTTGGCATGTGTTTTTTTCTTTTCTTAACCTAATTTTTCTAAATTCTTAAACAAAAACCTAGGTTTCATGGTTATACAATAGTTATATAATTATCTTTTTAATGAGGTAACAACAGCCAACAAAATCACTGAAATTGTTTAATAAAATTGAGAATGGAAATGGGGAATATGTCAAAGAGACAGCAACCTGACCAAAGAGCAGACAACACATGAAGGCCACCAAAGGGTCTTCAACGCAGCGAAAAAATCCCGCACCCGTAACCTTATATTAGAAATATATCTATTATTATTATTTGGGATATAGTATATATAATATATATCAAAAGCGGATAACAAATTAAAGAAATTAATAAAATTGTTCTTCTGGTTAGTGGTGAAGTATAAAGTAATACCTCCTGCTTGGGCCAAACTCATTAAAAAGATCACAACCTGGTCAGAGAGTATTAAATTCTAAATAACATTCATTCAAAATTGCAACATCCTGTTTAACTTAAATCGCAAGGCCTTTTGAATTCACCAGATAAGTAATACATGAGTTTAAGAAAAATAGGGCTTTCTTTTTACCTGTAAAACACACACATATACTGATGTAATTAAACCTTATTAAAGTGCTTTTTGTATGCCATGTCTTTAATTTTGACAAAAATTAATTTAAAAGGTTATAAAGGATTCCTATGAAAGTTCTATTATCACGATTATATTAAATTCTTGTTTTAACAAAACAAAGGTGGCATTTTTTAAATTTTATAACTTTTTCAAAACAGCTTGGATTTTCAGCAAACTTTTCAGCTATCTTTATCATATATTTATCTTACAAAATGCCAGGTTGTTTTGTATGTTGGTGTATTGCTGTCAATTTAAGGACTTAGGTAATAGGTAAAAAAGGCTGAAATATTTTAATTTGACAGCATGCGCAATAAACCAAATTAACAAATAACCTGGTATTTTGTAAGATAAATATATAATGGAGATAGCTGTAGATTTTGATGAAAGTTCAAGTTGCTTTGAAATAGTTATAAAATTATTTAAAGATAACTATCTGAATTTAGTCCAAACTGAAAATTCTAGCTTTTTTTACCTTGATTAATTAAATCCTTAAATTTGACAGCAATACACCAAACTACATAACGACCTGGGATTCAGTAAGATTAATGTATAATTGAGATAGATGTAAAGTTTGATGAAAATCCAAGTTGATTTGAAAAAGTTATAGAAATAATTAAAGTTGACTATCTGAATTTAACCAAAATAAAAAATCTTTTTTTTTTTACCTATTAATTTAATCCTTAAATTTGAAAGTAATGCATCAAACTACATATTAACCTGGGATTCAGTAAGATCAATGTATAACTGAGATAGCTGTATAGTTATATATGAACATCCAAGTTAATTTGAAAAAATAATAAACAAATTTAAAGTTGACTAGCTGAATTCAGTCCCACTGAAAATTCTGGCTTTTTTTTTACCTATTAATTAAATTCAGAAATTTGACAGCAATACACCAAACTACATAACAACCTGGGATTCAGTAAGATCAATGTATAATTGAGATAGCTGTATAGTTTTATGAAAATCCAAGTTGATTTGAAAAATTTATAAATTTAGTCAAAACTGAAAATTCTTGCTTTTTTTTACCTATTAATTTACTTCTTTAATTTCCCAGCAATGAACCAACTACCAAATAACCTGGAATTTTGTAAGATCAATATTTAATTTAGTTAGATGGGCTGATTTAGACCAGTTGAGACTAAACTTGAAGGTCAAGACTCTTCGAGACAGGTCGAGACTGGTCGAGACTGAGTCGAGACTGAACGAGACTGAGTCGAGACTGAACGAGACTGTTCGAGACAGGTCGAGCCTTGGTCGAGACCATTTCAGACTACACCAAGAT